ATTATTTTTCAGATTATATATATATAAATATATATATATATATATATATATATATATATATATATATATATATATATATATATATATATATATATATATATATATATATATATATATATATATATATTTATATATAGCCCATATATATATATATATATATATATAGCCCATATATATATATATATATACAATTAAATTATTTTATATAAATGAATTTAATATATATATATATATATATATATATATATATATATATATATATATATATATATATATATATATATATATATATATATATAGTTACGTAGCTACTTGGTATTTCTAGTTTCGCGTGTATCAGGAGCTATATTCTACTGAGCTCTGTCCACTACCAACTCACCAAACGCTGGCCAACACCAGGTCGATGTACTCACCATGTGACCGTTTTCTGGCAATAATCACGTGCATCCCTCACCCGATACACACAGAGTATTGAACAGGGCAACCAGTGGTGAGTAGTTTAATTTTCTCGCAGGGGTACTCACTGGGTGAGGTGAGGGTGGTGAGAGCGGGGTATGTTAGGGCGGGGTAGGTGAGGTGGGGGTGGTACTTAGTGGTGAGGGTGGGGTGGGTGGGGATCGGAGAAGGTATTCATTATGTAAGGGCAGGTGGTGGTTATGGTAAAAGTCTAGTGATTTACTAAAGGGTTAGGGTTATGGTAAAGGTCTTGTGATTTACTAAAGTGTTAGCTTCTATTGCAAATCTACAAAAAAAACAATTTGAGAGCAACCTGACCTAGTGATATGCGAGCTTGCTGGAAGCTGGGAGGTCAAAAAAAAAAACTTATTGTATAACAAAGCTAGCTGTTCAAAGAACTTATGGTATAACAAGCTAGATGATCAAAGAACTTATGGTATAACAAAGCTAGCTGGTCAAAGAACTTATGGTATAGCAAAGCTAGATGATCAAAGAACTTATGGTATAACAAAGCTGGGTGGTCAAAGAACTTATGGTATAACAAAGCTAGATGATCAAAGAATTTACGGTATAACAAAGCTGGGTGGTCAAAGAACTTATGGTATAACAAAGCTAGATGATCAAAGAACTTATGGTATAACAAAGCTGGGTGGTCAAAGAACTTATGGTATAACAAAGCTAGATGATCAAAGAACTTACGGTATAACAAAGCTGGGTGGTCAAAGAACTTATGGTATAACAAAGCTAGATGATCAAAGAACTTACGGTATAACAAAGCTGGGTGGTCAAAGAACTTATGGTATAACAAGCTAGATGATCAAAGAACTTATGGTATAACAAAGCTAGCTGGTCAAAGAACTTATGGTATAGCAAAGCTAGATGATCAAAGAACTTATGGTATAACAAAGCTGGGTGGTCAAAGAACTTATGGTATAACAAAGCTAGATGATCAAAGAACTTACGGTATAACAAAGCTGGGTGGTCAAAGAACTTATGGTATAACAAAGCTAGATGATCAAAGAACTTATGGTATAACAAAGCTGGGTGGTCAAAGAACTTATGGTATAACAAAGCTAGATGATCAAAGAACTTACGGTATAACAAAGCTGGGTGGTCAAAGAACTTATGGTATAACAAAGCTAGATGATCAAAGAACTTACGGTATAACAAAGCTGGGTGGTCAAAGAACTTATGGTATAACAAGCTAGATGATCAAAGAACTTATGGTATAACAAAGCTAGCTGGTCAAAGAACTTATGGTATAGCAAAGCTAGATGATCAAAGAACTTATGGTATAACAAAGCTGGGTGGTCAAAGAACTTATGGTATAACAAAGCTAGATGATCAAAGAACTTACGGTATAACAAAGCTGGGTGGTCAAAGAACTTATGGTATAACAAAGCTAGATGATCAAAGAACTTATGGTATAACAAAGCTGGGTGGTCAAAGAACTTATGGTATAACAAAGCTAGATGATCAAAGAACTTACGGTATAACAAAGCTGGGTGGTCAAAGAACTTATGGTATAACAAAGCTAGGAGGTCAAAGAACTTAGGGTATAACAAAGCTGGCTGATCAAAGAACTTATGGTATAACAAAGCTAGCTGGTCAAAGAACTTATGGTATAACAAAGCTGGGAGGTCAAAGAACTTATGGTATAACAAAGCTAGCTGGTCAAAGAACTTATGGTATAACAAAGCTGGGAGGTCAAAGAACTTATGGTATAACAAAGCTGGCTGGTAAAAAAAAAAAACTTATAGAATAACAAAGCTGGGAGGTCAAAGAACTTATGGTATAACAAAGCTGGCTGGTAAAAAAAAAACAACTTATAGAATAACAAAGCTGGGAGGTCAAAGAAACCACGGTATAACAAAGCTTGCTTATCAAGTAATAACAAAGTTGTTTCATTAAAGAAGAACCAAAGATTTTTCAAAGAGTGGGGGTTTAAGAGAGTGACTAAACAGTTTAGAAGGGAAGTAATAATCTAACTTGTAAGTTACCCCACTCCTCCACAACCTTAAATTATCGCCCTTAGAATATTAAAAAGCACCTTTACTAGATGTCTTGCATAAATTTAAAATTAAAACATTTGTTTAAAGCGGTCACATAGAAGGAATTGGGATTGTTTAGGGATCAGTTTCTTATGTTTACAACAAGGGATTGTTTAGGGATCAGTTTCTTATGTTTACAACAAGGGATTGTTTAGGGATCAGTTTCTTATGTTTACAACAAGGGATTGTTTAGGGATCAGTTTCTTATGTTTACAACAAGGGATTGTTTAGGGATCAGTTTCTTATGTTTACAACATGCACGTAATTGAAGCCTAAGCCAACATCATTAAGCTCTTGCATACGTTATATTTCATAAAATTACTTTTAAATCGATTCGTTATACACCTGACAATTACGTTTAATGAACTGAAATGTTACACAGTGCAACGAAATTCAAACAGGATACATTGTTTGATTGTTGACGCACCGTCATAGATACTGTAATACGTATCATTGACATGAATTTTTAAAAAACGTATTTTCTTGAATTTGCCGTCAAAGCGGCAGTAATTAATTTAAAAAAAAACAACTTAAGCCTAAAAATACTTTAGAAATGTAATATTTTTAGAATCGATGGTATAAAACTTGTAAGTCCGGAGAACTTGGAAAATTATACTTAAATTATAACCCGGTTTCACTTTCGTATGATAAACATTGATTGGCTGTACCTAAACTCCATGATCGATAATCTGAAAATTCCACTGGTAATTTGTACTCAAAACTTTGCGACAACATTTTAATTTTTTTTTAATCTCACGACATAGTTCAGCCATGTTTGTAGTCATTCAGTAACAACATGAAACAGCCATATTGTTTTCTTTTTTTTTTTTTTGGCTTTTTTTTTGTAAATTTTGTTTGGTTACCTCAAATACAAAAACAGCAAACACATCCAATCTTTAGTAAAGTCTAACCAAAACGTCGAAATAAAACTTTTATAACCACATTTATATGTATAACACTGTATACGATTTTAAAAATATTTTATACACTATTCGATTTATATCGAGACTATATGCGGCTTCATCCATGCGTCCACTGAGAAACCCCAATTCATTTAATAAACTTCATACACACACACACACACATATATATATATATACATATATATATATATATATATATATATATATATATATATATATATATATATATGTATATGTATATATATATATATATATATATATATATATATATATATATATATATATATATATATATATATATATATATATATATATATATATATATATATATATATATATATATATACATATACATATTTTATTTAGCGTGACTTGCGTAACATTTTATTTTATGTAATTTGAGAACACTCTTTTCATTTCATATGACTTAAGTCATATCCTTCTATTTAGCGTGACTTAAATCATACTCTTTTATAATCCGTGATTTAGTCCGCGCCAGTAGCTCGCAGCTACTTTTAGCCACCCATTTCGACGGGAATTTTAAAACGGAAGTAGCGGCAGGAATAAAATTTGCGAGCCTGAAAGTCTCAGAGCTTCCATTTTTTTTGTTTCGTCACTTTTCCATTTCCGCCAACTCCAGGTTTTATACGTCATTTCCTGCTCGTTTGTGGCCATTGATATTTTTTTCCCCCATTCTGAAACAACGCCCGAACGTAGGTTAAATTTTTACATTAGGCATTTTTTTTAAACCTCACACCATCCTACCGCGTGTCTAGATATCTATGAACCAAAGCTAACGTTATAAATGGACCTAAATTAGAACTGTAATTTAATTTTATAAGTCAACCAAGATGAAGTTATTTCCCTTGAAATTACTGTAATGTAAGTCACTGAGATGCTTCCTGCCGTGTTGCGTTCATAATGGAGTCTCCCTGCCGCCCCACCCCACATCCCAGTGCTATCGCCACGACGTCACGGAGAGGGAGAATGGTTATCTTCTATATTCGCGGATCGCTTTATTTAACTTTGTGTTTAGCGTGATATCCCTAGGACGATGATAAAAAAGTTAATTATTTTTTATCGTGGCAATGAACTAAAAATTTTCAGGAATTTCCCAACCTTTCTGGGATTTCGTAACTTGTAGAGCTAATTCTCGCCAGTCTCGCAACTTGCGTCCGAATCTCTAAACGCAGAGGCAATTCTAGAGAATTGAAGCTAAATCTCGCCAAATCTCGGACCTTGCCGCTACATCTCGCCAAATCTCGCAACCTAACTTGTAGCTACATCTCGCCGAATCTCGCAACTTGCAGCTACATCTCGCTAAATCTCGCAACTTGCAGCTACATCTCCCCAAATCTCACAACTTGCATCTACATCTCGCTAAATCTCGCAACTTGCAGCTAAATCTCGCAAAATCCCGCAACTTGTAGCTAAATCTCGTTGATGTTCAGCACGTGCTGAGTCTTTTTAGTTATGTACATAACGTATGTGTCACATAAAACTCAACATTTTAAATATAAACAAATTAAAATCTCTCAAAGTAAACAGAAAAATTTTAGCAACTTCTTACCTGGATGAGTATAAGAATAAAAGTCATTACAATTTGAGACTTTGGACTAATGAAGGGCGGTCTTTTGGCCGAGCGTCTAGCACTCTCGAATATTCTAGATATTCGGTTTGTTTTTATGAGTAAAGATGAGTATATCACGCTGAACCCAAACCCCACCCCGAACCGCTGGACGGCGCACATGATGGTGGAGGGCGGGGCGACGATGATGAAGGTCATGAGGTAACAGAAGACGCACCCCCCGAGCAGCATATAGCTGAGCTCCCGCCCCGAGGCCATGACCACGGGGGTGTTGTTGAACATGACGAAGAGGCTGATGACGAAGAGGGTGCAGATGATGCCCACGGTAGCCAGCACCATGGGGATGACGGCGTGCAGGCTGTTCCAGGACATGTACTGCACCTCCAGGCTGAAGCAGCCCGTCTTGTTGGGGTACGGCCACATGCCGGCCTCGCACTTCTCGCACGTCTTCTCGTCCTTGATGTACTCCCACGGGTTGCAGCGTGTGCACAGCCAGCAGCACGGCTCGCCCTTCTGCATGTTTTTTATCTCCCCCTCGTTGCACGGCTCGCTGCAGCGTGACCTTGGGATGTCCTTGGTGTCCCCGGCCCAGATGATATCCGATTGGTTCACGCTGAGGCCGTTGTGCCACGTGCCGACCACGCGGTACTCGTACTCGCGCGTGGTGCGGTTCCTCTGGAAGTTCATGACCATGTACCTGCCGGGGGCGTTGCCGAACTTGTCGAACTGGACTGTTGCTCCGTGGCCGTCTGAAAGCAAGAAACATTCTTTTAAAACTTCTAAAAAAAATAAACAACTTCATTTTTTTTCTCAAAAAAAAAAAAAAAAAAAAAAAAAAAAAAAAAAAAAAAAAAAAAAAAACTTCAACATTTAAAAATAAATTCTCAAAGAAACAACTTCAAAAATTAATTGTATTAAAAAAATGATTCAAACTTTAATAACTACATTGACTGTTGTTACATAGGTTCTAATTGATGGCAAGTTTGTTTCATATATCTATCAAAAAGCACCAATAGTTTGAGTAAATAATACGAACAATTAAAAATTAATTTTTTATGCTGTTTAGAATGCTTTTTTAAAGTTCTTATTAGTCTAATTAAAATGCATTTTTGAAAAATAAAAATTTAGAAGGCCGATAAAACAAATAATTTGTTAGATAAAAATTTTCTTGTTGTTTCTTGGTGATTGGGTACCCATGTGTTAAATAAATATCTCTGTCGTCTTTCTTAGACACATTAATTTATTTTATAAGTTTGACAAATATTGCAGGCATAATGACAGGCATAATGTCAGTCGCTGGGGTAGTTAGAGCATGCTCGGGATAGTTGGGTAGTTAGAGCATGCTCGGGATAGTTGGGTAGTTAGGACTTGGGCGTTGGTCGGTTGGGTAGTTAGGACTTGGGCGTTGGTCGGTTGGGTAGTTAGGACTTGGGCGTTGGTCGGTTGGGTAGTTAGGACTTGGGCGTTGGTCGGTTGGGTAGTTAGGACTTGGGCGTTGGTCGGTTGGGTAGTTAGGACTTGGGCGTTGGTCGGTTGGGTAGTTAGGACGTGGGCGTTGGTCGGTTGGGTAGTTAGGACGTGGGCGTTGGTCGGTTGGGTAGTTAGGACTTGGGCGTTGGTCGGTTGGGTAGTTAGGACTTGGGCGTTGGTCGGTTGGGTAGTTAGGACGTGTGTGTGACAGTTTGGTCATTAGGCTTTGTGTGGGACATTGGGTTCCGTATGACTCCTGTGTACATCAGTGGGGACGTTATGGGTTGTTACCCTTTATTTATGCGTGTCCACGAACGGTTACATTCTTTAGTTTTATGCATCATCACTGATAAATCAAACGTTATCCTAGAACCTTAATGTCCAAATAACACTAAACAACTTTCGTTTCTTTTTGTTTTGTTTTTAAATTCCACTTCTTTGCCGACAACGAAATCGTATAAATAGGTTAAATATAAACTTGAGTAGTTTAATGGTATTTTTTTTTTGGAACGGTTTCATTTTTCTATAACAATGGCAACAAATAACCTCATCTCTCCCCCCCCCCCCCCCGCCCCCCCATTTATTGTTTGTTGTTTCCCGCCCGGGGACTGGACCGGCTGTACAAGTGGTAATTTCGCGACTTTTCTCGTTTCAAGTACTTTGGAAAGATTTGATATTGAAAGAAAAAAAAACCCGCGGAGAGGATGTTATGGAGCGTCTTCTGAAGCAGACGACATTTGTCGGAGTTTCGGCCTGGTGAGGCACTCGGTGGAGCATTGGGCGGAAGTGGAGGACTCTTGGTGGAGCATTAGGCGGATGTGGAGAGCGGGTTTCAAAGAACTTTTCCAACACTTGAACTAGCGAGGGACGAAATTGCGACGGAAGGACATATGCGGTCTAGAAAATTGTGTCATATCCAGGGAGGTTTAGAAGCTTCTGGAACAATCCTTGAGCCTTGATGTTTGACGTGTGTGGCTGCCTTAGCCCCGGGGGTGGGGGCGCTCAGATCTAGCCTTAGAGGCTGGCGGTAAGGGTTTGATATCAGTACACCCATATCGAATGTGTCCTCAGTCATAGTCCAGTATTTTGTACTTTTAAAATTTTTAACACGGTTTAACTTCATTATCCCCGTTAATTATAACTCATTTATCATTTCTATAGTGTTAAGGTACGTTGGAATATATGAATATACTGCATTAAAAATTGTCGTAAACATTGTTTTGAACTACTTGTGCTTTTTTGCTACACACACACACACAAACAAACAAACAAATACACACATTGATAATACGATATATATATATATATATATATATATATATATATATATATATATATATATATATATATATATATATATATATGTATACATTACATATATTCAAACTATATTTATTCAAAACAAACACTTATACATTTATATTCCGACACACTAACTTCTATCAATGACAGCAATCGCCCCGACAAAACAGCCGTTATTAGCCGTTGAACTTATTAATCGCTTAACCTGTCAGCTTGCCGGCCGCCTTAGAATTCTCCCCTTATTAACGCGCCGCCATAGTAAACGTCAAACGCACCCGGAACCATTGTCTCCCCTACACCAGCCACCGGCGGATTATTCCCCTTGTTTGTGTCTGCCCCTGCTAAGTCCCGTCCACCGCGCGACATCACGAAGCCAGTGGATGAAAAAAAAAATAGAATAACAGTTACGGCCCTTGACGAAGAACTCGGCACTGAAGACGCCCCGGAATGAAATATGCAAACAGGGTGTTAAAAGAAAGGGAAAATATATAAACCTGTGGCGAACGGGGGTGGGGGTGGATGAAGGGGGTGGGGGGACGATGGGGAGGCGACTTTACTGATGTACTGTTAATCGATTAGCCAAGCCAACAGAGGGCACTGCTGGAGCTTTCTTTTTGTATCGGTAGAAACAGCCGTCAATGTCTCGGTCCGGCCTGCGAACAATGTCCTAACGTTCTTCAATTCTCCTGCTGTTAGGGTCAACACCGTAATTTCTTGACAAATAGACTCACTCCACTGAGGAATGCCAGATTTTTCCCCCCACGAGCGGTTTCTATTTTTAGTAACGAAAATCATTAACGGGTTCTGGCAGATTTGGCCCGCCCAGATTTTGGCCAATGGCGTCTAAAGAAAGTCGCTTCAATGTGGAGGTGGGGGTGGAGGGGGGTAAAGCGCAGGGGTTAAAACTGTTGAAAGGCTCTTTAACAGATTGAAAAACATCGATGCAACTACTCTAAAACTATATTTTATTGATTAAATACCCCGCGTTCATCCTAGGCGCTAATGGCACATATTGGGATGTTTCGTTCTATTGCTTGTTTCAATGTGTTTTTTTATGCTGGGGATCTTGGAGTGTAAGCGTCCTTCATTACATTTTCGTGATCACTAGATTCGATTCCTGCTGTTTTAGACTAGAAAATCCAAGCCTTGTAATTCAAGCTATTGAAGAATATCATTTGTAGTTTTACGCGAGAAAACAATGACAATTACCTCAACAAATAGGGTAATTTTTTAAATAAATTTTTTGAATATTTGAAAACATCTACCTATTCAACAGCTCTTCACACACCACACGTTTTATCATTCGATACTCCAAACACCACAGATCATATCATTTAACTAATGATACAACACAATTTATATCATTCAAGTACTAAAGCACCACACTTAATATCATTCAACTAATTATACATAGGACCTGTATATAATGAAACACATCAAAAAACCAACTACACAGTTCTATGCATCCAATATGTCAAAGGGAATTAATTGAAAATACCAAACATAAATCAAAGGTTACATAACACATACAAAAACATACCCCATAACGTTCTTAGTGAATTACTACGCTTAAATATTATTGGCTTTATAATTTTTTTTCGACGCCGTATCCTTCCGCAATGTCGCTGTTACTATTTTCTTCATCTTGTTAATTTGACAACCCTCCGTTTTTAACCCCCCCCGCCTCTTCCGCACAAACAAAGAGTCCAGCTACGTTGTGTATCCCTCCGCCGTCTCCTAATCTGTTCTCTTCCGACCGCTGATGAAATTCTGCGTCTGCTGTTTATTTTCATTATTGCATAATTAACATATCTGGGCCGACTGTCGCTGAATGAGGGAGTCAGAACTGCCATTTCAAGTGGCCTTAAAGTTCCAGATTTTCTTGAAGATTATTTCCTCCCGTTGTCATGGCGACGCGTGTATCAGAGATGGCATGTATGGGACGGTTTCTTCTTAGCTTAATTTTTAAATTGAAACCACGCGCGAATCTAATTATCATTAGTGGAAATAATGAATGCAGGAGACTGTAGATTGATTGGGAATGTTTTGTAGACGTTGAAAGTGCTGATGGTGTTTAGGTTGGTGTGTGGTATGTGGGTGTTGTGTCTGTCTGGTGTGTATGTGTGTGTGTGATGTCTGGTGTGTGTGTGTGTGTGATGTCTGGTGTGTGTGATGTCTGGTGTGTGTGTGTGTGATGTCTGGTGTGTGTGTATGATGTCTGTTGTGTGTGATGTCTGGTGTGTGTGATGTCATGTGTGTGTGTGATGTCATGTGTGTGTGTGATGTCATGTGTGTGTGTGATGTCTTGTGTGTGTGATGGCTGGTGTGTGTGTGTGATGTCTGGTGTGTGTGTGTGTGTGATGGCTGGTGTGTGTGTATGATGTCTGGTGTGTGTGATGTCATGTGTGTGTGTGATGTCATGTGTGTGTGATGTCATGTGTGTGTGATGTCTTGTGTGTGTGATGGCTGGTGTGTGTGTGTGATGTCTGGTGTGTGTGTGTGTGATCGCTGGTGTGTGTGTTTGATGTCTGGTGTGTGTGATGGCTGGTGTGTGTGTTTGATGTCTGGTGTGTGTGTGTGTGTGTGATGTCATGTGTGTGTGTGATGTCATGTGTGTGTGTGATGGCTTGTGTGTGTGATGGCTGGTGTGTGTGTTTGATGTCTGGTGTGTGTGTTTGATGTCTAATGTGTGTGTGATGGCTGGTGTGTGTGTGTGATGTCTTGTGTGTGTGATGGCTGGTGTGTGTGTTTGATGTCTGGTGTGTGTGTGTGTGTGTAATGTCATGTGTGTGTGTGATGTCATGTGTGTGTGTGTGATGTCTTGTGTGTGTGATGGCTGGTGTGTGTGTGATGTCACGTGTGTGATGTCTGGTGTGTGTGTGTGTGTGTGATGTCTGGTGTGTGTGATGGCTGGTGTGTGTGATGTCTGGTGTGTGTGTGTGTGTGATGTCTGGTGTGTGTGATGGCTGGTGTGTGT